GGAATTCCGCATTTAAGAATCTCTTAGTATCTCGAGCGAAATGGTGCAGGAACACCATTTTGCTGAAACCAAGATCTTCGGCAACATCTAACGGAATATCCTCGAGGTATTCTAGTAAATGGTTCTGAAGAAAGTCTAAATAAATTGGACCGTTAATAGTACGTTCGAAAAAATGTGATTCGATGATCTGAACATTAAATATTCCAATCTAAATGGAGGTTCCAAGTATTGATGCATCACTTATTGGAACTGAATTAGGATTTATTGGTGAATGATAATGACAATTGTGTCTATTGAGACACCCAGTGCTTAGAAATGTTACTTCGTTGCTAAAACAAAGATTCCAAGAAAAATTTGGGATCTATTCCAATGTGTCGAGTGCCTATCTATCTAAATCGAACTCTTAATATATGATCATTTTCGCTTAACTCCTGCAAAAGATTAATGTAGTAAGGACGGTATTGAACAGATTGTAACATTTGATTAATCGTAGATCGAGAAATTCCTAATTGTCGTTCCATTTGACGAGTGCTGACATATAGATTCAAATAAACCATGTTTAATACTCCAAAAGTCTAGGATCGTTAAGGTTTTAAAGCCTTTTTCTTTGTCCCTAGAGATGTAGTAGATTTCTACGAGATCTTCTCCCGATATTTATTATTTCCTGAACATTCAAATGCCAAATGATTAGGATATCGCTCAGCATAAAGACGTGAAGTACATCTGTAATTCTTGTGACATTCAGAGAATATCCACTATATTATTTGGTGTATGAATCGCTATTTTCCAAGTAGAAGAGTTCAACCTGATTCGACAATACTAAACTATTGATCAAGTGATTATTAAAAAATTGGTGCTATGTCAGCAAAAAAAACTTGGCAATTGAATGAACTATCCTCTTTCTTTCACAAAAAGCAAGGGAGGATAACAGATATACAGGAGTAACCAAAGGAAGATAACAGGATTAAATTTTGATAGACAATCAAAAGAAATACAAAGATTTTATAAATATCATCTACAATATTTTAACATATCCTGTAATGATATGTGAATAGAACATTCGCACATTTCCAATAAGTGTTATTGATAGTGAAAAAATAAAATTATTTTTTAGAAATCCCCCACCCAGTAAGCAAGAAATCATTAACACAACATTATTATAATGATATTTTATAATATGTAACGTTTTCAAATATAGTTCTTAATATTGCATAACGTCATTGTTAATAATATTTGATGGAAACATTAAAAATAATGTTTCTATATTATGATTTTAAAATTTAAGAACATAATGTTATCAAGTAACAGTTTAAAAACATTTATAAAATATTATGTCAAAATGTTTATAAAATCCACATAAAGTCAATGTTTCAAAAGATTGATTTAATGTTTCTTGCTTACTGGGCAATGTTTCCCCCCAAGGACATATCGGGTTGATCACCTACTGCTCTTGCCTTCATTGAGAACGTTCCCTGATATTGCCTTCATTAGCCGGAATGCCTTTCAAAATAAAAACTTTGGGCGCTATTTTGAGCCTGTTGGAGGAAATTTAGCGAAAAATTATCAGGAACAAAATTTTCTTTTTTTTCTTTCATGGAATATAAATCTACAATGAAACAGGCGTTTCCATTAAAAAAAAAAAACCTAAACCTTATTGAGCCCAAAGTGGGTTCCGTACTCAAAATCTAAGTAACTCATCTGATGACCCTCTTCAAACTCTACAACTTTTATTTGAAACATTTTTCTCGAGATATTTTAGTGCTAAGTTAAAATAGGATACTTTGTATAAAAAAAGAAACTGACCACATGACTATGACCACATATAAAGTTGTGCTTATGTTCTCTACGAGTACCAGAATTAAATTATTTTTATTTTTCAAACCACCTTCGTATTACGAATTTTAAATATATTCAGATCCGATTATATATAATTAGATATATTCGATATGTTAATGTTATATGTTAGATATGTTAAAATATTTTATTGAAATTGATATAGATGGTAATAATCTTAATAAAATGGCTGTAAGAAGTTAGCCCTCCACTTTTCGAATTTATTTATTTTGACAGTTGTAATTTGTGTTAGGTTTGTGCTACATTATGCTCGAATGATAAACTTGTAATATGAAAAATGCGCGAGAAAAATGAAAAAAAAAACGTTTTTTGTCAACCCCCTACATTTCGATTTTTGTAATTTTTTTCATTGTATTAAGTTGTGCCAAGTACTAACATTGTGCTAAATATCTTGAAAAAATAATAATGAAAGAAATAAAACAAAAATGACGATTTTGGGCAAAACAGAACAAAATTAACGTTTACATTCGTATTTGTTAACCAAACAATATTAAATTGCATATCTGATTTATACAAGCATAGCACAAGTCAGCACAAGCTTCAGTTTCTGCAGAAGCAGAAACTGCAGAAAGCACATGCTTTCACTAGTACAAGGATATTAAGGGTACTTTACTTTTAATCGTTGCCCTTCGCTCGCAGTCTATATCCATAATCACGATTTATAGACTTTGTATCGAGGTAGAATTGCATATCTGAGTTGTGTTAGCTTAGCACAAGTCAGCATAAACTTCAATTTCGTTGGCACAAGGACATTAGGCACTTTACTCTTGATCACTAGCATAACTCAGATATACAATTGTACTTCGATACGAAATCTAGAAATCGTGATTATGGACATAGACTGCGAGCACAAAGGACCGCGATCAAGAGTAAACTACCTTTTAAATTTCAGTGCTATCAAAACTGAAGTTTGGGCTCATTTTGTGTTAAGCTGGCACAGATATAGAATTCTACCTCGATACGAAATCTAGAAATCATGATTAAAGACATACAGTCTGTTCAACAAGAAAGTGTGGGTGATATTTTTGTAGAAAATCACAATAGCGCCATCTAATTTATACTGTTTGAATCTTTAAACTAATTTCTTTTGCGCAGTGTATATCAAAAAGCGTTAAAAGTAAACTTTTTTTAAAAATGAATAAAAAATATTTGAGCGTTACGGGGTGGTTTCTTGTTAACCAGCGGTGTTTGTTTTTCCTTAAGGACCAAAATTAATCATCGCGGCAGTTGCTAGAGTAATTAAAAAGTCAGAGACTTTCGTAAGGAAGTGGGTAAATAGGGTCAAAACCACTGGAAATGTTGACGACCTGCCAAAAAGGAGACTATCTCGTGCGACAACTCCGAAGGAGGACAAAGCGATCTTGCGCGTCTCTTTCAGACGAATCCCAGCTTTACCTTGCATCAAGCCCAAGTAAAACTTCGCCGAAAAAGTTTACATATCTTGCTTAATATCTGCCATCAGAAACCGACTGCATGAAAATGATGTAACATTTCGGTCCACCATGAAAAAACCGCTGCTGTCAGAAAAACATTTTCAAAAGAATAGAGTGAGGCATGAAAATGTTAATCGAGATTGGGCCAATGTCATCATCTTTACAGATGAATCATACTTTTGGGTATGGTGTCCCTTATCGAAAGTTTGGTCAACGAAGCAAAAAAGAATCCTGCAACGCACTGTAAAACATCCAATGAAAGTTCATGTTTGAGGATGCTTCAATAAACGCGGTTTTGGCTACTTATATCTGTTTATAGACAATTTAAATGCAGACAAAATGCGGCCAATTTACCAAAAATATTTATTAAGGTCTGCTAAAAGATTTTTTGGTGAGGACAGATCGAAATGGGTACTGCAAGAAGATAACAATCCGAAACATCGTAATCGGCATGTACTGCATGAAAACTCGAAAATGGCATAACTATGATGAATTGGCCGGCATCCTCTACAGATGGAAATCTCATCAAAAATGTATGGTCATACCTTAAGATGAAACTTAAAGGAAAGTGTGTCTTCACTCTTAAGCAGCTGTGCACCAAAATAATAACAATATGGCGTCTTTTACCTGCAGAATACGCCGAAAATCTGGTCGAAAATATGCAAAAACGGTGCCAAGCAATAATCGATAACGGAGGCGACTGGATCAAATATTAGGTAATTGCTCATTACTTCAAAAATCTTCTAATTTCGCTTAAAAAAAAACAGCTTGACTTTATTTTTTATTCTTTCAGATTATCAGCCACATAGATTGTAGAAGGGCCGCGATTAAGAGTAAAGTGTCCTTAATATCCTGGTGCCAGCAAAACTGAAATCTTCATGCTTTTTAACTTTTTTTAACTCTCAAAACTTTTGTTTGACTCAATGTTATCTGTTGTCTTTATGTTAATATATTGGAAAAAAAACTTGCAATATGTTGAAATATGAAATGTTATCTCTTTATACTTTTTTTGTATCTAACCTATATATCTTAAAAGATAAAAATTATATAGTAATTACTAAACGATTATTTTGTTTCTTAACTTTTATCTGTGTGTATGTGTGTGTGTGTGTGTGAGACAATATTTAGTGAGTCATCTTTTGATTGACTATACATTCTACCAAAACGATGTCCACATCGAAAATCTGCCATCTATTAGTCATCTTTTAGATGTCTATGTGCTAAGGTATAGTAATACTATATAAAGCCAATATATCTTATTTATTAATTAATTGATCAAAATGTATATTGCGTTTTTCTATAACGTTACTTTTCGTACTTTTAAAAATAATTTTCTTAAAATTACAACACGTATTATAAATCCTTTTTAAATTTCAACCGTCTTACTAATTTCAATCAATGATTACCTTGTGCACGTAATATAAAAGTAGAATATAAAGATGTAATATAATCAATATATAATCTCTCGGTCGTTTTTTGAACATTAAATTAATTAAAGATTCTTAGTACTATTTTCTCGGCATCACTAGAATAGATAGTCTGAAAACATTCGAATTTCATCCCCGCGTAAACAGCATTGCTATGTGTGTGTATATGTATGGTCATACATATGTATATGTGCTTGTATATTACGGCCAAATTGAAAGACCAAAATCGCAAAAGTAATCATTAAAGTTATGAAGCAGAGAAAATGGAAGAATACAATAATCTCACCAAGCACGGAAAGACTGAGACCAGAACCAGGGCGAGGCGATCTCTGCCTGTCGGGGGGCGCCATGTCGCGTTTTTCTTATACTTTCTCTCTTTCTCTTTCACACTCTGTTGTCTCCACTCCGTAGATGTCTGTTCTCTTGCTCTCTTTTATGCGCCTGCATGCGTTTCAATCTGCCGGTAAATCCTCGCTCATCTCACAGCGTAACACACACGAGTCGAATCACATAATATTGCCACACGCGAGCGAGCGAACGGCGCGATTCAGAATAGATAGAACGACTCGGAGACGAATCGCAGCACGCATCTGACACCCGCGACTCGCATTTACGGGATACATATACGACGGCTAACGACGAAGCCGCGAGAACCCATCGAGATTTTTGGCGTATTGTCACGTATTATCACGATCATTACTTCGAATTGTCAGTGAACGTCGACATGTAAAAAATATCCACACGACAAAAGCGCACGACGAAGGTTCGTGGCAAACTGGCTGCTTCGACGACCGCCGGGCCAAGCGTAACGCAACGCAGTGCAACGCAGCGCAACGCGTCGCGGCGCGACGCGGCGCGGTGGCCACTCGCGTGACGCCTGGGTTGGCTGATTGGTCGGCAGGTCGACCGACTGGTTGACTGGCTTGGTCGACACGGCAGTTGGTGGCTGCTCGACAACTTCGCCGATCCTCACGGTCGTTCACGATGAGCGGTCTCAGTCTCTGTCTATCCTCGGGGAGATCTGTCTCGCCTTCTCTCTTCTTCTGAATCCACTCGAGACCTCTCTCTCTCTCTTTCTCTCACTACATCCACTTCGTCCTCTTCGTCTAGCTAGAATAGCGCACGCGCAGCCACAAGTTGTAGCAACTTGAGAATCTACCTGTTTCTGTTCCCGCTTTGTGTTCTCTTCGTATGGGTAGGAAACCGCTTATGAGACTTATTTCGGCCACATTAGTTGACCCAACAAGGTCGGAAAATGTTATATAAATCGTTCATGAGAGTCACTATTTTTCTGTAGACTAATCTTCGAATACGGAATAGGAAAAAAGCTTAAGACGAGGTACGAGTTTTTACGATCATCATGTATTCTTTGCATTAAGGGCCGATACAGATGCGCGCGGCAAATAGAAAGGTTACTCCCTCCGCAAGTGATCTGTTGTGTAACAGGTGTATCCGCTCTCCAGGTTCGACTTTGGTGACTTTGTTGTACGCGTGAAACGTTACTTTCTACTTTCACATCTCACAGCTTAATACACGATTTTCGATATGTGTGAGCTGGCGTGCGTTTTTCTCACATCGCGGCAGGTCATCGAAGGTCCACCGCGGGACCGCGTACGAAGTGAGAAAGACATAATGAGAGAAAGCCCAGTGCGCGCGCGTTTGCCATGTTCTAGACTTAGTTTAACTGCCGAGCATGATCCTACGTGTTTTCTTATTACTTCAGATCAATAGCCGTGTATCATCTTATCGCGAGGTGATCAAATGTCAATGGCAATTTTTTCACGCATTTGTAATTATTCCCCGTTCTAACTATATGATACCGATATGATGTTGATATTCGCGAGTCATAATAGTCGAGGGTTAAGGTAACTATCGATACAGACACATCGAATGGCCTATTCACCCTCCTACCTCTATCTGCCTACCGGTCGTATTATTACACGCCGTTTCGTAAAACCGCGATTGGTTCCCACCTTGCTTACGCGACACAACAGGTTCCAAGCTATATGTATCGGCAATACGGAATGGAAAAAAGCGATCATGATGAAAGAAAGCGGATGATACAGACACAACTGACGAATTCGATGTATTATATAGTATAGATATGTACAGTCTGTATCACATTATTTTTTCCTTTTGTATTCGTGTTTTTGTGATGTAAGAACTTACGATTATATCTTATGTGTATAAGTCGCAGGAAAAATTGTATCCTGCATAAAGACAAAATAAAAAAATGTATTGTCTGAAGGATTGTTTTCGAAGCAGTCTGGCTTTTCTCGCTTTGTGGAAGTCTCTATCAGATCACGATAGTTGATCTTCGGTCGGTAAAATATCCGTGCCGAGACATTTTACCGCAGCGTTAAATGCTCGGAGAAATATGAGTCTAGTCCGAACGCTGGTGTTGAAATGGTAATTTTATTTCTCGTGAGCGAAAGGAATGAAGAGGAATAGAGAGGGGACGGAGGAAGATTTCTTACTGTACGTAGATAGATTGGAAAGTAGAACGAGAAAGAAAACATCATTCTTTTGAACAAAATCATATTTATTGTTCAACATAGTTTCCTTTGAAGTTGTACATTTAATCTCACGCTTTTCAAAATCTTTCATATTTTTAATAAAGTAAAAGATTTGTCTAAACCTTCGAAATATCCATCTACAGTTCGGAGAACTTCAATATTTGATGAAAATTTCTTTCCAACCAGCCATTTCTTCAGATTCAGAAATGGAAAAAAGTCACAAGGAGGCAAATCTGGGGCGAATACGGTGCGTGTTCAATCAATTCGAATTGTAATTCATGCAGTTTTTCCATCGCAATTGCCGATTTGTGTGTACTTGTACATTGTTCTGGTGGAATATGACTTTTCTTTGTTAAGTGAGGCCTTTCAGCTCTGATTTCGTTGTTTAAACGATTCAATAACGATGCATAATACTGGCCAGTTATTCTTTTTTCATGTTTTAAATAATCAATGAAAATTATTCCACGGAAATCCCAAGACAGAAGTTGCAAGCCATCACTTTTCCGGCTGATGAAATCCTCGTTGCCTTCTTCGGAACTGATTCATCGCGTGCTGTTCACTCTTTTGACTATTCTTTAGTCTTCAGTATGTAGTGATAGATCCATGTTTCATCGACAGTTATAAAACGATGCAAAAAATCTTTGATATTACACTGACATGTCTAAACATTGCTGAGAAATGGTCATTCGAACTTGCTTTTAATAGATTCTTAGCAAACGCGACATCCATCAGGCAATGAGCTTCTTCATGTCTAAATGTTGATGTAAAATGCAATGTGCACAATCATATAAGATGCATGCAGCCTCTGATATTTCTCTCAACTTTGATCGTTCATTACGATTCTGTAGACTTTTCTAGTGGTTTCTTTATCGGTAGCTGTTTCTACGTGATGCATCTTCCACGCTTGTACGGTAGTGTTTAAATTTAGTAATTCAATTTACAATTGTTACATATGAAGGAGCACTCATCATGAATTCCATCTAACTCGGCTTTTATTTATTTAGCGTTTAAATTTTTCAAAAAGAAATGTTTTAATATTGCACAATATTCAATTTTTCCATAATTAAGAAGAAACAGAAGTTGTTTATTTTGTTAATTGCCATAGCTATACTATATATGCAGTACCAATCTGAAAATTTTACGGTAATCGTTCGAAAATTACTTCTTTTAATACACGTCAGTGGTACGTGCTTGCAACACCATCTTTTAGTTCATTCTAAAAACTTTCCGATCTACCTTCGTATATCGCAGATAAAATGATTTCGTTCTTCACTCGTATACAAAATTTCTTGGAATGTAATTGGGATCCCAATCCGATTTTTCAAAATAATGTTAGATTTTAACTGGGAAGTCTACATGGGTTCTGGTTAGAAGCACAATGTATCAAACGTTCTCTAAGTGAGAAACATAAATAGATCCTATTTAGTCATATTCAATATGTTTTTTTAAGATTTTTCTGGTTTCTATTTTATATTACGAGATTGAACAAAATATACGAAACACTTTAATTATTTATATTTCACAAATACACACACGTGTATTCTATGGACGTGATATTAAACATAGTAATATTACAAAATATAACCCTGTTTATTAACCTCCTAATCGATATTCGGTCAAACTGTTACTCGACTGTAGCAATGAATTGCACGTCGCAACATACAGTCAATCAGCATTGCAGAAAAGATGCACCTCATGTTTGGGATAAGAATGGGATTTCCAATTAGTATTGTAGTAGAATAGCCCATTTTAAGAAAATTTTAGATATTTTAACCGGAATTAATATTTTATATGGAAAAATCTAGGGACATTTTTTTGCGAGCAGGACAGAGAGCTTTAAATAAGCGATATCTCATTTGTCCAACGTCTATCGCGATGTTGAGTAAAGTTACATCATTTATCGAACGGACAGTTGAATAAATGAAAAGAGCAGATCACTTGCAATACGCATTCTGAAATAACGGTATGCTCAAACCGACAGACGGTTTTTCTCGATTATTGTTCACGAAACGATTGCTCTAAAACTTGAGAAAACTCGATCATAAGTAATGACAAGCGCATATCAACACGATACCGATATCAGTACCAGTACTGGTTCGGTAAATTCTGCATCGACGTACAAATGTATAGGTGTACGTCGTTGCACCTTTCTACGTGGGCCAGTGTGGCGGATGCGGGTGGGCGGACCGGGATCGGATCCATAGTGGTGCGAGGCAGGCAGGCAGGCAGGCAGATAGACAGGCAGGTAGGCAGGCAGACAGGGCCCACGCTGAAACAAGCATCGGTAATTAAACGAGCACCTCGCTCGACGAACTCGTCGTCAAAAACGAAGCGAAGATGATTCGCGCCACGCTCCGCTTCGCTTCAATGAAATTGACAGGGCAAAGACAAATCACGTGATAAGGATAATCATTGCCACGATATGTCATTGCGAATTGAGCATTCAAATCCGTGATTACTCCGAGTGAAATCAATGGGCATTTATTAATTCGAAAAAAAGTTTGCGTAACTGTACGAGGTAATCGTGGAACGACACTGAAGAATAAAGAAGAAATTTGGTTAAAAATGTGTAACTTGGATGAAAGTACAGCGTACCAATTAGAACAGGACGTGATATTCACGTCAAGTCGACGTAGACCGTCCACCATAAAATCCATATGGACAGTTGAGTCGGCAGGAGCTCAATAATGGAACTCGAATCCACGAGGAATTTATATCGATACTTTGACTGGGTTTTCGATGATGATAATACGAATTTTGATGTTTCGAATAGTAACTTTTTGCCGTTTTTTCTATGTTGAGATTTGAAGAAGGACGTGCTAAGATCTTCTAGTATGCACAGAGAAAGAAAGGTCACTTTATATGTTCGTGTCTCTCCATGGTTTCGAATTTGAACTGTGCCGGTCATTCATCTCGTTTCCTAATCGTAGTCGTGCTAGAAGTTGCTTGACTTCGACGATTGGACAGCTAGTAATGATTTCAATGACTGTGACGATACCTTTATGACTTGTGTTTATATAATATATTTTTATGTTCACAAAACGTTGTGATAAACATATTTACTGACAGATATTAAAAGCAACATTGATTGATATGCGACAGATATTAATGTAATGTATATTGGCAAACTAGTGACGCAATGGTTGCTTTTAAATCTTTTAACAAAACGTTATTATGTATTTTAGTGTAAACGATAAGTTAGTGTCAAAAATACATGATGTGAAATAATTCAAAAGTTATGCAAGTTAGTATTATGCAAAAGTTACTTCGAGAATACACTTATAACACTCGATTAATAAGTGAAATATCGTGAACGAGTTAGCAACAC